CTGATACCCAGAATCAGCCTACTGAGCATGTACAAATCTGATTGTCCTTTTTTCCTCAAATAAAACATCTGTAAACCTCTGAAGAATCTCTTCTGAGGTAACATGAAGCTGACACAGCACATTCACTTATAAGAACAACTTGCTTCAACACGCCCTCTTCACAAATTCAACAAATGCTTTTCAACCCAAGACTGTGGTTCAAAGCTGTTTGAACTGCTAGCTTAATTTGAGCTTTAGGGGGGCTTCAGCTGAGGCAGGGTTCCCACAAACCTTGGCATTTTTTAGACTAGTTTTTCAGTCATGGAAACACCTGGAAATTGATTAGAATTACCAAAAATTCTGGAAAGAATCTATGTTGTCCTGGAGAATGTATTTTAGCCTGTGCTGTGACCAAATTAATGTTGCGGTTGGAGGAAAACTGTAGTCAGTTTGAAAAGAGGAAAAATCTGATGTGGTGAGAACACCCTAGCATGCCACAAAGCGAGCTAATATGGCGTGCCCCTTAAATCGTTCTGAGCAAGTGCTGTCCTGTATTGTCAAGAAAAATTGGAAATGCCCTGGAAAAAGATTTCTTAAAGAGTGGGAACCCTGAGAGGTGGTGAGGGACAGAACAGGTGATGTAAAATGTAAATGTTCCCCAAACACTGACACTGATCAACACTGTAAACTACTGGCTTACTAGTAGTAGTAGAAATAGCAATAGTAGTATTTCTACAGCTAATGCAGTCTAATACAACAATCCTGCACTAAATCCTCCCTTCATGAAGACTATAATGTTCAGTGTTGAAACAGTTTTAGAGCGATGTTGATTCAACTGCATGATCATTTTTGAGAATGTAGTTTGTGATGCTGTTGAACTGTATTGTGTTATACTGACTGGTGTTTCTGTTATTTTATCTATTATATATATCTATTTATTATAGCAGTGAGGGTAGGCTAAATAACACGAACAAAAGTTGAATCAAGTTCACTGAAAACTATTTAGATAATCCATTAATCATATTAACAGCTGTTTTTTTGTTTGTTTTATATCATTTTAAAATGATTTTTTTAGTTCTGGGAAATTTTATGGACATTTTCCAAAAAATTTTAGACAAAAAGATGAATTTATGAATCTAGAAAATAACTGGCAGATTAATGTATGATTAAAATAATTGTTAGTTGCAGTCTTTCACAGTGTGAACAATAAAACCTGGTTAAAGATCATTATAGTCTCATGGTATATTTTGTCACTTTTTAGTTTTCTCTTTCCTCATCTCCTCTGTCTCTCTCCCTGTCCATCTGTCCCTCTGTCCCAGCAGTCAGATGGGTCTTCCCAGATTGACGTTCAGTCAGGGGTTGGCTCAGGAGGAGGAGGTGGTGGAGGGACTGTTGGGATTGATTCAGACGACAAGGGGACCCCCAAACGCCTCCACGTGTCCAACATCCCCTTCCGCTTCCGAGACCCTGACTTACGGCAGATGTTTGGGGTATGTAGACCAGAATATTCCCTCTTGTTTCCCTTTGCATCATCACATAAAAATAACCCAGTAATGTGGCTTTGGGATAAAACATGCAGTTAGTAAAAATAATGACTCAAAGGAGTAATCCAGTGACGTCAGCACCCTGACCTCAAATTTGTTTTCACTATTTATTTACTATCCTCAATGTGAGATTTTAAACAGCTGTTTCAGCTAAAAGGAATCAGCTTCTGTCTTACTTGTAAAAAATAAACTTCATATATCATCTTGTAGAGAGGTTATTTAAAGTCAGGTGTAAAAATCTGGCCTTTTTGCTCTGTTTTTTTTGTAAGAGGAATCTCTAAAATGCGGTGCAGAGAAAAGAGCAGAGGCGAGGAAGATATGGTGGAAGGAAAGACTAGCAGAGCTGGCTCAGTGCCAGCTCATCATGGCGAACAGTGCTGACACCCCGTGGCAAGATGCAGTACATGACTTACATACTTGTTCACCCTCTTCATTTTCTTCCTCTTTTTTTCTTTTTCAGCAATTTGGCAAAATCCTCGACGTCGAGATCATTTTCAACGAGAGGGGATCCAAGGTAGGAAGTCTGAAACAACAGGACATTTCTAAAACTTATTAACAAAAAATGCGCTTGGCAAACAGCTATTATCAACCTTCCCTCACTCTCCCCCTCCCTTTCTTTTTCCATTCTCTTCTCTTCTCCTCTGCTTGCAGGGCTTCGGTTTTGTAACGTTCGAGACCAGCGCGGATGCAGAGAGGGCCAGAGAGAAGCTTCATGGTACGCTGGTGGAAGGACGTAAAATCGAGGTAACTCACCACCCTCGACCCCCCTTTTTTTTTCCTCCTCTGTTTCCCCTTCATGTCCGACTATGAGAATGAGTTTGTTCTGGTCGTTTCTGCCCCAGAGGTTTCCGGATGGCTGTATGTGTTCTACTCTAACCCCTCTGGCTTCACTATAGCATGGTGCAGTGGTGCCACACACAGACGTCTCTTTTGACGACACTTCCTGTCGATGTTTAAGCTGTCGTTCTTGTTGTTGATGTTGTGGGCTGTCCATTGCACCTTGATCTCAAAGCTGTGTGGTTTGCAAAGCATGCTGGGTGGAGTGGCTACACAACAGGCATGGCCGGTGAGACGTCACTACGACACAGTTGACGACACTGACAATATCCGCTTCTGTCACAGCATGTAGGATCTCTGTTTTATTTTTAATTTTTTTGGTTTTCCTGCACCTTTTCCATCACCAACATCACTTCTTCCATGATCATGATGAGTGGCCATTTTTGGTTTCTGGTTGTGTTTATGACTGGAAGGGCAGTTAATAGCCTCTCAGTTATTTTTCCTCTGAAAAAAAAAGTGCTTGCTGGTGTAAGAGGCTACTGTATGTTGCATGGATGGATCATGAGGTCAGATGTCGTCATGGAGTTTTTCACTCTTTCAGTTAATATTACGTGGGTGCCTCTGGGTAGCAGTTTTTTTTTTTTTTAATGTTTGATGTGTTAAGAGACTGATGCATGATGGGGGGATTTTCAAGGGGGCAGTTTTTGGGAATGAGACTGCCGTGAGAAATGTGGTGTCATTTCTGATCCTTCAAAAAAAACAAAGCAGCCAACTGTTTAATTTCAGATGTGCGAGATGGAAGGTTTAAAATAAATATAAAATAATGTTTTGTTTACACACACACTTGCATCCACCACTCCTGAAAAAGAACACCAGATCTCATGGAAGTGCATTTTGTTGTGACATCTTTTTTTTTTTTTTTTTTAATTTGTCAGCATGAGCTCGGATTTCAGTTGCAAATGGCCTTGGGGATCAAATACACCATGCTTTCGCCATTTGCTCTGGCTCTTGTTTTTTAAAATCACGCTTTCTTTTTTATTTTTACTTGCTACTAAGGCTCCTCTGCATGGTCTCGAATGTCCTGCACTCTTCTCTGTGTGTGTGTGTGTGTGTGTGTGTGGGTGTGCAGAATTAGAGATATGGAGGGCGTAGAGAGATTGAACATGTGAAGAGAATGGAATAGATATAGCTGTCGTTACCTCTCCTTTCCTTTTCGTTTTTGTTTTTTTTATATTGTTTCCATCTCTCTCTCCACTCTTTTTCACCAGGCCAGTCTGTCTGTCTGTCTCTCCCAGTTTGTGTCCTCATATGCACCTGCATTTCTGCTGTCCATCCCTCCCCCATATCTCTGTCCATTTCCCTGTCCTGTGATCTAGTCAGGTAACATAGAACGAAGTTTTGATTTTGAGTGATTATTTTCTCAGTTATTAGAATTTTAATCTGGGCAGTAATAACGGGTAGTCCCCTCACAAATTTCTGACATTTTCTGTTTTCATTTGTTTGTTCCTTTATCAACTTTTATGATCTGTGTTTGTAGTGGGTTTTAACCAGTAGAGGCTAGATTGTTGTCAAATGGCTGATACTTGTAGGTGACTGTTGACACGTGACCTATGACATCACTTCCTCTCTACCACAGGGTGGGGGTTGCTTTTCATTACCTCGTTTTGTTTATGTTTTCTTTTTTCTTTTTTTCTTTTTTTTTGGTTCATCATTTCTTTCTTACATATATTTTCTCTATTTCCCTGATGATTTTTGTATGTTGTTGTTGTTGTCAGTCTCCACGGTAACTGCTCGCGTGTCCTCACGCCGTTTCCCTGGCAACGGTAAGTTGTGTACACATGGCATCATCTTTGAATGACCCCTCCCCCCACCCCATCCGTAAAAAAAATAAAATTGAAATAAAATGCACCCAACACCCAAATGAAGGACTCCTTTACTGAAGGGAGCTTGATTGATTGACAGAACCTGATTGGCTAATCCTGTGATTGATTGGGGAGGTGGTGAATGAAACGATTACGAGATTAGCCATTGACCGCATGGCATTATAAAGGCCACTTGTATAACTGAATGTACTGCATCTATCTGCAAGTGCAACAACTATGACTACCACTTCTTATGCATTCATTCCAATCACCTCTCTAACTGCATTCAGCATTTAATTCCAGAGCTGTATCCTGCATGGTTTACTCTCTTTCTCGTCATCTGTATGACGTCATATAGTACTATGTCATCTCTCTGTGTCATGTGTCAGCCAATAGCTGCATTTTTGCACCTTAGTGGGACAGCATGCTGAAGCATGAGTGCTATGTTAGCTTTACTGGAGAGAGGATAATAGTTGTCTGTATATCATGGTGTACTGTAGTACTTGATTATTACTTTCTGTGCCACTTTGTAGACTGCAGACAGTTGTAGAGGTATGGCTGTTTAGACTTAACATTCAAATTTAAAGATATATTATGTGGATGAATAGTGTGCGCCCCAAAGAGGATGCAAGCTTACTCTACTTAAAAGCAAATTTACTCTACATATGACATATGTAGAAACATTTTTAGCCTTTTTAAGAGAAAAAGAAAAAAGCTTGAAATAATTTGTAGCCCCCCCCCCCCCCCCCCCCCGCAAACATAAGAAAACCTCTGATAAAGTAACCAGCAGCTTTTTTTTGTTCTGACTCCTATAAAGAGGTGTTCTTGTTTTACTTTGATCCAGTGTGGTTCTGGGATGGTGTGTGTTGGTGGTTGTGTGCTTTCGAGGGTCTTCTGGTGTGTGACACTGACCGGAATGTCCTGGCAGTGTTTCACAACCATGGTTTGATGTATTTTTTGTTCTTTTTTATTTTTTTATTTTTTGAGGAATGATATTTGCATCCCCCATCCTCTCGTGTCTTTAGTATCTAGACTTTTCTCTCTTGTATTTGTTCTTTGCCTCATTCATCATTTTCTCATTGTTGCTCATGTACAGTTAGATCCAATGTAGGCCAACGGTCAGATAGTATTATGTATTGGTGTCTATCGCATCTTGTTGATTCTCTGTTTGTTCATTAGAAGAAATTGCACATTTGGATGGATTGTTCACGTCTCTCTGCTCTCCCTCCTCCACCATCATGTATATGTGTTTTTCTGGTGTCTTTTCCATAAGATGAAGACTGGCTAACACTCCATAAGCATAACCCTGATTGGTGTGTGCTGTACTTTTCTGCATCTGTCTCGTCTCTCTCCCTTCCCGTCCTCTTTGTTTTCTGGGATGAGATGGGTATATTGTGTTAGTGATGTTTTTAGAAGATGTGCTTGCCTACTCTATTTTGTATTGTGTTTCTACATATGCTGCATCTGATGCTTGCTGATTGGCTAGTTTTGGCTCACCTCTGGTTGTATTTGTTGAATAGCGCTACTTAGATTAGGCTGCGTTGATAAATGATGTGTAATGTAGATGACTTCGAATTGGATGTTTTTTATTTGCTTTTTTTGTGTTTTGAAAGCTGATAAATCTGCTTTAGATGTGAGCTTAATTCACCTTATTTGTCTCGTCTAGTATTGTAAAATAGTATGGTAGCTAGGATTAGTGGTATATAATTTGAGCATTTGTGGATTCTTCTTTAATTGATGAGGTGTTTTGTTGCTGATGGAATATGTTTGTGTGTGGTGTGGTGTTGTTGTCTTCGTTCTGGTGGTGCCAGTGGAATGGTGGCATTGTTGTGTGGTGGCTTAAAATACTGCCTGGACTACTCACCAGGATCCTTGTAATGTTTCTAACTGTCTTTCTCCTTCAAATAAGTATGCTGTGTCTATGCAGTTCATATTAACCTAGAATACGCTGCGTCATTTTATTCAACATGATTCTATATCCTCTTTCAAGTAATGTTAAAAATATAAATATAATATAGAAGGAAAAAAGAATAATATAAACTGATGTAAATATAGTTTATTTATCGCGACTCACATCTTAAGTGTTTTATAATATTAATAATACTCGAGAGACACTCAGGTGTAACTATTATGTGATTGAATCCTGCATAATTTGTACACTTCCTCAATACTTAGTAATGTTTTTTGGGTAATGGATGGAGGTGATAATACATGTTAAACTGGGATAGAGCGTGGTATGTACCGATCTGTGATCCTCGTGTGTGTGTGTGTGTGTGTGTGTGTTGTTGGTTGATGGCGTCAGGAGTCTTCGTAGGATTGCCACGAGCCAGTATGGAGATGGACGCGAGAGAGAGCAAGAAGATGGAAGCGACACAATCGCTTTTACGTTGATATTATGCTGTAGTGAGCTGTGGTCTGGTACTCGCAATCGTCATGCTTCGATTGGACGAGAGGTTTGTTGGTATTATAGGTAGCGATCTTTGAGACTGCAGAGGACAGTTGTAGAGTATAGTATTTCCTGTTGTTTGCATTTGATATGTGTGGTGCCTGGGAGAAATATTGCTAAAATTTAGTATGATCACATAGATAAAAAAGCCTTGGTTGCCAATATGTACAATTTTTGTGGAACTACAGTATAAAAATAGTTGAAATGACAGGGCTTACGTTGTTGAGTCGCGTTTTCTTGGAATCATTAATCTGTGGTGATCTTCTTCTC